ATTATATTAAAGGTGAAAAGAATTTTGAAGTGATTTATCTTCTGATTTTTTTTACATCTGAAAACCCTGATATTTTATCAGGTATGTATAGACCTTTTATGTCAATTGTATGATATTGCACATTATATTTGCAATTAAGTTAGGATGTACACATACAAACTCCTATATGCTTTCGATGTAGGGCAAAATACAAACATAAACAAAGCTATATATTTCTGTAGTCATATATAGTCATATAATGTCGAGGTCATCCACAGATTAATATGATACAAAAGTGTCATTTTATGAAATATTATATTTATGATAGGTCCTTGCTCTATAAAAAAAATTAGATGCTCAGAAAAAATGTGCCAGAAAAACCAGAGATTGGACCTGTTTATTGCTAATATGCAAGAGAAGGAAACAAATGACAGGAGGGCAAATGTTTTTCCAAGTTCAAGTATGCATACATTTTTACTTTTGAGGATTCATTGTCTATTTGTGCAGGAAGAAGACTCCTGTTAAGAAAACATCAGCAAATGAGATAAATTCCAGGATACAAAGATGCAAGTGTAGAGCATATAAAATGCATAATCATTCCTCAGTTTAAACAGATTGCTGTCAGGCATGAAAGACCAGGTCGACAAGTGAAGGTTCAATTAAACTGATTTATTGCTAAAGGATTATGAACAGGAATCGTCTCAACTAACAGTCAGCATCTAGTTAGAGTTAATAGAAGTAAATGAAAGATTTTCATCTGTGACACAGTCAAATTAGATAAGGGTCAATGGTACTCAAGGGGGCATTGGACTTAATTCTTCTGTGGCTATGTAGGGATTCTAGGATGATCACTCTTTTCACTCCACCCCCAGGTTCTGCTGTTCCTTGTGCTAGAATTACAAGCATGTGAACACTAATTGTCAATAACTGTTTTATATAGTAATTATTTATACAAACATATTTTCATTCCAGAGTAATGAAGAAAAAGTCATCTTTCTGTTCTGTTTCCATTTTCATAGTGTTTTCAAGCAAATACTTATCTCTATCAACAGCATGTTTTACTATAAGAAATATAATTTTGACCTAAAAAAGAGCAAGATTATGATAAAGATTAACTACGTTAAAGCTACTTAATCACTTACAGAGAGAATTCTGTAAAAATTAGAAACTCCATTTATACATCAACAATTCCACTTTGTATCCTTTTAGTTAGAAGATATGGTGAATCCCCAGCCATAGATACAATTTTTCTTGTTGCTAAAACTTGAACAAACTATCTTTAAGAAATATAGACCACATAAGTGTTTCAATTCTATTCATTAAAATTATTTAATGTGATAGTAGCTGAGGGCATCCAATGACATGCTGATAGGCAAGTTAGTTATGTGTGGGCTGAAAATAATGACAATTATGTGAGTATATAGCTGGCTCACAATTTATTTTTAGAGTTCCCATCAATTATTTTTTATCAACTTGGAAAGAGGGCCAAATTATTATTCAAGTCCACAATTATCAATTCCCAAGACAGATTTTCAATATTTCAATATTTTTATTAATAATCAGATAAAAAGCTAAAGGGAATGTTTCTCAATTTTCAAAAGTTTCAAAATTGAATAGGATTATCTTATATTGTGGAATAAAAAATAAAATTTAAAGCAATCTTGACAGGTTGGAGAAGTGGATTAAAAGTAACAGAATGAAATTTTAATTGAAGTAAATGCACTAGACAGGGACACAGTCAAGTGCACAGATATAAGTTATATAATATCTGGCTTGATAATAGTACTTGCAATGAAGATATTACCATAGAAGTTAATTACAAACTGAGTTAGCATTATAAAGAATGAATTTCCAAATCGTAAGAAATATTTTCTCGATTCTATTCTGGATATTACAGTCTAAGAAGATTCAGTGAAATTACAACACATTTTGAAAAGGACAATGAAGATGATTAGGACTTTAAAAACTATGCCCTAAGGGTGATTGACCCAGCTAGATACTGGTATGTTTAGCCTTGAGCAAAGACATTGGTGGATAGGATAACCATCTTCAGATAACTGAAAAAAGGTCACATAGAAAACTATCAAGGTATCGTTTTCACTCCAAAACACAGGACATGGAATAATAGATTTTAAATTACTGAAAGATAGATTCCAATAAAATATTAGGGAAAAATAATAGGAAGAGCAGTTTGATGGTGGAGCCAGAAGCTTTCTTTCATTGGATGTATTCAGGTGGATGCTAGATAACCATATGTGTAGGATGCTTTAATCTGGATTCTTTCACATAACTAGAGGATTAGACTCAATATTCCTTTCCGAATCTGGGATCTTAAAATAGAAGAAACCAATCTACTCAGACTTAGTGTGTACTGTCCAAGGTTCTGATTTCATGCTCTCAAATTTCAGATTATGTGATTATCCAGACATGACTGTACCTACTGTTAGGTACAATCTGATTCTGATTCCGCTATCTTTTGAAAATAACTTTTGTGTTAAAATGATTGAAAAACCTTCTCCTCTGGAATGTTGGGTGCTTGTGATACAGTGCCCAAAATACAGCAATTTAGTGCTTTTTGTACCCAAAGCACTGATGTACAGGTTATTTAACCCACAATATTTATTATTTGTTACAGGCTTTATTTATATCGCTCATAAATGCTTCAGGACTTTTTTTCACTTTGCATATATCCAGAGCAGAATAGGACAACTCACCACAGCCAACAATTCAATCACCACAATCAGTTCATCGCTGCCAATTCGCCATGACCAACTTGATGCAGCCAATTTGCCACAGGCCATCTTGCTTGGCCAACACACTGCAGGGCAATTCAACAATTTTGTTTAATTATTTAAAATAATTTTAAAATATTTTAATTTTTTGTCATTCACATTTCATTTTGTCCCTCCTTTTTCATCCTTTCTTTAATGATTCTACTCCACCATTTCTTCAATATTATGTAACTTGTCCCGCCATGAATTGTTCTGTGGTGAGTTAACTGTGGTGAGTTGGCTGCAGCAAGTTGGCCATGGCGAGTTGGCCACAGTGAGTTGGCTGTGACAAGTTGTCCTAGACCCTATCCAGCACATAGGTCCTCTGAAATCTGCCAAGTCTCAATATGCAGAAAGTGTCTATGACCCTGACTTCTGATGACTACATAGACACATCCCATGCAATATTCTTTGGCAACATTTTTGGAAGGGGTTTTCTCTCTTCTTTTTCTAATGCTGAAAGAAAGGAAGAGCTCAAGGTAACTCAGGGGGCTTCCATATATAAGGCAAGATGAAACATTTTCTGCCTTCTAATAAAACACCTTAACCCTCCCCTAAACTGGTTCTCAAATATCTTATATACTCATACTATTTCTAGTAAAATATTTTTTTTCTTGATCTAAAAAGCAAAAACAGTCCTATTGTTGTATATCACTGTTTATTGCAATCTGTTACTTTGTTAATCTATGTATTAATTACAGGAAAGTCTATTATTTCTATAGACACTTTATGCCAATTTCACTACTATAAAATTATGGTTGAGTCTCCATTGCATAATCAGAAAAAAGTTGGACCCTTTGGATAAATTACTATAGCCAAACATCATTATATTTTGAAACAGAAATAATATTCCATAATGTATAGACTTTGCTTTGCTACATTTCTGTATGTTCTTAAACAATATGCTGAAAGTCAACTGACTTCCCCCACCAGCTTTTTTTTATTGAATTAAATTTACTTGGCTTAAAAATGCAACATAATTTTCATACAGAAAGCTTCACTTTTAAATAGATTAAAAGTATTTAAGAATACTTCATTACTCCAGCAATAGAGCAAAAAAGCAAAAAAGTATGAGAAGCAGAAGAAATAAGTGAAGGTGCATTCAAGGTTATGGCTCTATCTACAAAACATTGAGGTCACCATAAGCATTTCTTCATCCTTATAAATACATTGAAAACTTAGAGTTTTAGTCAGTGGTGAAATCTGAACTGGTTTGCCACTGGTTTGCTGGCTACATATGCGGGGTGCACGCCAAACGGCGGAAAAAGGAGGCTTGGGAAGGTAAGAACAGCGAGGTGGGGATCAGCTGTGCCGCACAATTTAGATTCACTAGAAAACAGGTGGGCAACTATGGCCCTTTTATGACTTGTGGACTTCAATTCCCAGAATTCCTGAGCTAACATGGCTGGCTCAGGAATTCTGGGAGTTGAAGTCCACAAATCATAAAAGGGCCATAGTTGCCCACCCCTGCACTAGAAAACTGAATTTCCTGCTTTCTAGCGATTTTAATTCGCACAGCACAGCTGATTGTCAGAAATACCGGTTCAGAGGGACCAGTAGCTTTTATTTACTACTGTTTCACCCGAACTGCAGCGAACTGGTAGCATTTCACCACTGGTTTTAGTGAAGTTCTACTTTCTACTCAGGCAGCTACAGAGATTCATGAAATAAGACTTCCTTCTATTTGAAATGATGAGTAGATTAGAGAAGGATATATAAAAGATATAATAAAGAAATATGTTGTAATTTAGAAATACACCACCACCATGCTATTGATGGTAGTGATGGTGATGATGATACATTTAGGCATTCACTGTAAAATCATAATAATTCTGGAAGGCTTAATGGAAACAAAAGCAGAATGAAAGCATAAAGCATAGGTATAGCTTTGTTTATACTGTGATTAGATTGCTGGCTACTTAGAATTCAGTAACAGTTTATTCTGATTTTTGGGTTAGGAAGGAAACAAGAAAAATAGGAACTAGCAGTACTCAAGAAGGAAAGTCTACTTTATTTCTTCCCTGTCCTCATAAGCCATTAGCTTCAATACTATATACAATTTGTTTATAGATGGGATCTTAATTTGTATTATGTGGTCTTTCAAACTCAGGATTACTCTCATTTTTACTCATTTTTATCGTGGTTTTGATTATAACATTGAAATGTACTAGTTCATATTGTCTTTCACATATATTGTATGCTTTATGTATTTTCCATACTCATATCCATTGGTTGGCTGGTTGATTGCAGGAGAAGATCCTGAAACAAGAAGAATGAGAACTGTAAAGAATATAGCTGATCTGAGACAGAACTTGGAAGAAACTATGTCCAGTCTTAGAGGAACTCAAATAAGCCACAGGTATTGTTTACTAGCGCAGTTGGATACATGGAACCATAAAGCAAAAACAGTGAAAAAGTGTATTGTCTAATCAAAATCTTCAGAGTTTCAAAGTCTGGTCAATTAATGTTCTTAACCTTTCATTAAATGTTTTGTTTCTTCTTTTTGTTCTCCTTCATTTTGAGGGTCTGGCCACAAAAATTTTAAGAAAACATTAGATAATAGTACACCAAGCCTTAAGAAGTGAGTTTAGATAATTGTTCTTTAAGCAGTTTAAAGGTTTGATTTAAAACATATCATATGGTTTAAGAAATAAATATCAAAAAGTGAAATTTAATCATTGTACAAAAGGGCAGTATTTCAGAAAACAAAATATAAATTGTCTTTAAAATCAGAGTAAAATCAACTTGTATAGCTCATATTTAAACAATGCTAATCCATAATAATTGTGCTGTATAGATGAGGCCATTCTGAATAAACATTGTGTGTTATTTGTAATTTGAATCTTGCCACTTGGGTTAAAATAAACAGTTTTAATAGAATTTAGTCTTGATGGAGAAGGATGGAGAAAGCAGGTAATTCAAAGGAATAGTATTTGTTAATGGTAATAACACAGCTGAGTGACACTGTAGTTGCCAAATTCTATTAAGAATATTGTGCTTATCTTTATTTAGAATGTATTTACTGAAACAAATGGGAAACATTTCAAACTTAATCTCATTGTCATATTGCAATGAAAACATAACTTATATTAATTTTAGCTACTGGTTTGTATGAGTGATTCATTACACTTTACAAGGAAGTCCCTGATTTTAAAAAAACCCTCCATTTTATTTTACAGTACTTTATGTTTTCTACTGGCATTTTGTCACTGCATGTCATTTGGTGAACATTTAACAGGTTTTGTTTTCCATTACAAGGTTTGTTTTATTTTATTTAAATCTTATATATTAACATGGTTTTATCTCAAAGCCCACCATTGCTAAAAATATGGAAAATCTGAGAATAGAAATTGGCTTGTGCAGAAAAATGTCAGCCTTAGAGTGACATCTTTAAAAACAGGTGCTATTTTTTCCCTTAAACCATGTTTGTTTAAAAGTAGAACTTTCCTTTGTCTACCTTTCATTTCATCCCATGTGCATAGAAATATGGACACCATGGTTCAATAGTTTTTGTTTTGCTTGACAGCACACTGGAAACAACATTTGACAGTACTGTGACAACTGAAGTGAATGGACGAAGCATGCCTGGCTTAACAAGCCGATCTTCTCCAGTGACCTGGAGGCTTGGACAAGCTAGTCCTCGACTCCAGGCAGGTGATGCTCCTTCCCTGGGTGGAGGGTACCCTCGCAGTGGTGCTAGTCGCTTCATCCATACTGACCCTTCTCGATTCATGTACACCACACCTCTTCGTCGTGCAGCCATCTCTCGTCTTGGAAACATCCCCCAAATTGACATGGGTGAAAAAGGAAATAGTGACCTGGACATTTCCTCTGATGTTGATGTTGGAGGGTACATGAGTGATGGGGACATTCTTGGGAAGAGCCTTCGAGCTGATGACATCAACAGTGGGTAAGTTTTTCTTTTTTGTAAAAATGAGATTACAAAAATTGTGATTTTTTTTAATTCACAAATTAAATTCACAGAATTCACAAATCTGTTTATAAACAGAAAGGAATGAGGCAAAAATCTGAAAAATATGGTGAATTTGTTCCTGGCTGAATTAGAACTATAATAATTTACAATAAAAGTTATTAGTGAAAATAAATTAACTAATTAACTAATCACAGGTGCATCCCAAGGGGAGCCTCATGTAGAGAGCATTGCAGTAGTCCAAGCGGGAAGTGACGAGTGCCTGAGTGACCGTGCATAGGGAGTCCCAATCCAGAAAGGGGCACAACTGGCGTATCAGGCGAACCTGATGAAAAACCCCCCTGGCCATGGCCCTCATATGCTCTTCTAAAGACAGCCATGCATCCAGGAGGATGCCCAAGTTGTGAGCCTCTCCGTGGGGGCTAATGATTCGCCCCCGATAACCAGCGATGGCACCAGCTGGCTATATCGGGACGCCGGAAGCCACAGCCACTCGGTCTTGGAAAGGTTGACTCGGAGCCTCTTTCTCCCCATCCAGGCCCACACGGCCTCCAGGCACCGGGACATCACTTCAAGGGCATTGTTGGGGTGGCCTGGGATGGAGATGTACAGCTGAGTGTCATCAGCGTATTAATGGAACTCCACCCCAAAGCCACGGATGATCTCACCCAGCGGCTTTACATAAATGTTGAACAGAAGGGGCGAGAGGACCGATCCTTGCAGCACCCCACAAACAAGGCGCCTCGGGGTCGACCACTGCCCCCCTGCCAACACAGATTGTGACCGGTCAGAGAGGTAGGAGGAGAACCACTGCAAAATGGTGCCCCGCACCCCCAACCCCTCCAACCGGCGCAACATGATTCCATGGTCAATGGTATCAAAAGCCGCTGAGAGATCTAACAGGACCAGGATAGAGGAGCAACCCCTATCCCGAGCCCTCCAGAGATCATCCACCAATGCTGTTTCCATGCTGTGCCCAGGCCTGAAGCCAGACTGGAGCAGATCTAGATAGACAGCTTCATCCAGGTACTGTGGAAGCTGCCGCGCCACCACACTCTCAACAACCTTCGCAATAAAACGAAGGTTGGAGACTGAATGATAGTTAGCAAAAACAGCCACAAATATAAATTTGTGATCTTTGGTAAACTGTTTACCAAATATGGGAAAAGATTCTAAGACATGTGAATATCTATAGCAAATTGGTAAAGTTCCATTAAGAGGGATGAATATTGCTCTTACTATAAGAGCATGCTTCTACTTATTTTTTATATGAGAATAAGAGTTGGGTATGACACAGTAGTGGGTTTCAATTTCGGCTGCTACCGGTTCGCTCGCTCGCACAACACTTCTGCGCATGCTCAGAGATGTCCAGGCGGGTGGGCGGAGCCTCCGCCGCTGCTACTGGTTTGCCCGATCCGGCGAATCGGTAGCAACCCACCACTGATATGACAGGAGAAACATGAAAGTAAGTTTCTGTGGAGATTATCAGTCATCCAGGTCATAGTTGAATCAAAGGTGCTTTTTAAAAAGCCAACTGGACTGGAGTTTTTTGCTTGAGGAAGAAGAAGATATTTTCCTTCTCATCCAAGAACTTTCATCAGTTCGGACAGGATGTTGGGAGGGATGGAAGCAGGGGTGAAATCCAGTAGGTTCTGACAGGTTCTGGAGAACCGGTAGCGGAAATTTTGAGTAGTTCGGAGAACTGGCAATTACCACTTCTGGCTGGCCCCAGAGTGGGGTGGGAATGGAGATTTTGCAATATCCTTCCCCTGGAGTGGGCTGGGAATGGAGATCTTGCAATATCTTTTCCCTGCCATGCCCACCAAGCCACGCCCATCAAGCCACACCATGCCTACCAAGCATGCCTACCACAGAACCCGTAGCAAAAAAAATTGGATTTCACCACTGTATAGAAAGATTGTTCTGATGGGGGGGGAGAGGGAGGACTTTAAAGGATCATATTTCTTTGCAGTCATCTGGTCATTAGCACTCTCCTGGAGATCTCTTGATGCACATGGGGGTTTATCAGTGCTCTCAGGGTCACCTATATCAGAGTGCAAATGGGATGGAATTTTTTTGGAACTGCTTAAAGGACTGTGTTGTAGACAAGAGATAGGTGGTGTCTTATATTCCCCTCTGTTGAGAGAGGGCTGCTCAATGTTAACATAAATGACCTCTTTTACCCCTCTTTCAAACCAATGGTCCTCTCTTTATTCTGTCCACATTGTGGATAGGGAGGGATAAAAGAGAACATTTATGTTTATAGGATAAAAATAATAGTTGCTGGTGTAGTATTTTTTTTCATGACCATTATGGTATGATGGCTCAAATATTTCTATAAATCAGGATAGAGAGCGCAAAATGGATATGGCAAAACAGATCAGTGAGCCTTAATTTGCACATGACCACCAAGTCTTTCAGAAGACTAAATAACCATAATAAAATTAATTAAATTATTTGTGGGCTAAATAGCAACATTTATGATATTTTTAAAGACTTTCAATACTGAGGTTGCAGCAAGTTCATAATTTCTTTACTTGGAATACAATTTTGCCATCTCATAATGCTGTAATGTCCTCCCTTATCTTGGAATATAAAATAAAATTCTAAGCAGGTACCATGTACTTTTTTTGGTTTGTTTGAACCAAAACTATGTGATAGTTCAGATAGGGGCAATCAGCTTTCAGAGAATTGCTTAAGTCTTCAGAAATCTTTGAATAAGTCTAGGAATCTCCAGGATTTAGCAGAAAGGGTTTTGAGGAGTCATAAGAATTTCACATTAAAAATTCCCTATGTAGTCAGGTTTGATTCAAAGCTGAAATCTAAACATTGTAAATCATATTTAGATCCAATTGAGTTATGCAAAATTCATTTCTAAGTAGACCAGCTGAGAACTGAGTTATATTTGTACTTGTCCATTGATTCCAAGCCCTGTTTTGGCATTTAGTACATTCAACATTCATGAAAGGGTTAAACAGCTAGTGAGAGCAAGTTCAGGGAGAACAAGTATATTTTCATATCACTGGACATGCACTGGCTTCTGAAGATCTTGAGTGTTGACACAGGAGGAGATACAAATACATGCACTCAGTTGTGACAACTTTTGTATGAATTTTCATCTAAATGTGCTTTGAATTCCTGGCAGGTGTTAACTTTTATTGCACACATATTTGTAAAGGATACAACAATTTGATTGTTTGCAAAGTGTGGCTTATGTATGTGCATGCCTTCATCACACTACTAAGGCTAATGTTTCCAAACAGGTTCAGCCCTTGTACAATCACAGCTCCCTTATAATTCATTTAAATAAGCCCTGTTGTCAAAGATAAGTCTGAAAATAAGCCATATCTTATTTTCAGAATACTGTAGAACTTTGAGAAAAGAAGACTGCTTTATTGAATAGAGGGGAGGTGCTGTGTTTTTTCATGTGAAAAATACAAATACTTTTTCAAGCATGCCAAGCCTACTTACTTTCTTCTCAGACTTTGCAGATGATTTTGTTGTAGATGAATTCTTAATAAATTAATATGTAAAACTTGTTATTTTCTTCTATAATTGTTTTTACTTTACCCTAAGACTGGTTTGTTGAAATCTAGACAAGTATTTAATTTTAGATTTATATTCCACCATTTATCAGGTCATGTATCATAAAGTAGAGTAGTAGATGCTGTCTGGTGTTATGCCTGTATTCCTAGGGTTCAGGCTAAAGAGGGAGGAAAATCACTGATCTCACTAACCTGAAGTCAGGACGCTCTTGGCATTAAAAGCAAAAACATATTAAAAATGTTAAAAAAAGGTGACAGCTTGAATAAGAAGGTTGATTGCTGATTTTTGTTGAATACTTTACTCTAGTAATCCTTGACTAAAAATGTAAAAAAGTATCAACTGGTTTATCAAAAGAGAAAATAAATTAGGTTGCCTTTCTTGAATGGAAATGTTCGAAATGGCAGTGCTCTTAGCTAAAATATTTTAAACTACTGTTTCTATTTTATATTAAATAAGTAAAAAGGCTAATAAGCACTAAAAATACATGCTTCACCCAAGCATGCCAAACCTTATCTCTTTCATTCCCACTTTAATTACTTTAAACCTTGAGGACAATCATCCAGGAATAATTAAGAATTAATATGAGAGAGTACTCTGTTTCATGTGTGTAGCCTCTCAACTAAAAATTTTACCTACCTGAGACTAAAGTATCTTGAACTCTTAAATATGATTTTCACCTTCTTTTTCTTAATTTGTAATTCTATTAAAATGGAAGCTGCAATAGTTTTACCCACCCTCACCAAATGCCAAATATACAGTATTTTGACTTACAAAGCAGTCTGGTATCTCAGAAACTGCAGATTCCTGCTAGAATTCATATTAGGCATACAGTTGCTTCAAAATATGTTCCTAGCACATATGTTCCTGAAATGTCTAAGAAATGGCATTAAGCAAAAATGAGCTTTTCATTGATCTAGTGCAGTGTTTCCCAAACTTGGCTATTTTAAGATGCATGGACTTCAATTCCCAGAATTCCCCAACCAGTATGCCTGGTTGAGGAATTCTGGGAGTTGAAGTCCATACATCTTCAAAGGGTCAAGTTTGGGAAACACTGATACTCTTCAATAAACTATACTCACTGATCTAGTGTAACAAAGCAAATGAACAGTAGTTTGCTTTAGGCTAGTAGTAAACCAATGTTTGAAATCACTGTTTATTCTTTGTTTACGGATTGCAAATGTATAATATGTGAAATACACATGGTTTATATCCAGTGGTGGGATTCAGCCAGTTTGCACCACTTCAGGATAACTGGTTGTTAACTTTCTGAGCAGTTTGGCAAACTGATCGTTGGAAGAAATCATTAGGGCAGAGAACCGGTTGTTAAATTACTTGAATCCCACCACTGTTTATATCTAATTCCTGGTTTATTCCCAGTTTGCTTTTCAGTAATGTCTAGGTTTTAAACTGTTCACAGATGCAACAGAAACTAAAAAGATTGAGAAGTAAATAAGACATGAGCTAATAAACCATGACTATTTCGCCTGAGGTTTAGAATGTAAGAAGGTTATATTGGCATTAGATTAGAATCCTAGCTAATCCTACCCACTGTATCATTGTGACCATACAGATAATATCAAGCTATAGTAAATTCACTACGGTAGGAATATATTATATGTCCTGACCACAGTAGGTAGAAAGCAGGGGTGGGTTCTACTTACCTTTACTACCGATTCGCAACGGGGCCACGTGTGCATGCTTGCTTTGCTCACATGCTCTTCTGCGCAAGCGCAGAAGCATTTTTATGACATCAGGGTCAGTGGGTGGAGCCTCCCGCAGGTTTTACTACCAGTTCTATAGAACCGGTGTGAACTGGGGGCAACCCACCACTGGTAGAAAGAGGATACATACTGGAGCCATAGTTCTATCCTCTCCTACCTTTGCAGGATGTATGATAACATATCCATGTATCCTCTGAAACACATATCAGTTTTGTGAATAAGGCCATTTTAATCAGGAGACAATGCAGTATCAAATACTTCTCCTTTTGTGGTGTAGCTGGGAAATAAAGAAGAGGGAAGTAAGATAGCTTATAGTAGGAAAATATTTATCCTTTTAGCTGATTATTTTCTACTTTGTCAGCAGCAGCAGCTTTCCCAAATATCAGGCAGAGATACTATTGGCAATCTGAGATGCCAAACATGGGAATTTCTACGTGCATCTCTCAGAGAGAGGGGGGGAGGGAGGGAGAGGGAGGGAGAGAGAGAGAGAGAGGGAGAAAGAGAATGAATGAATAGAAGAACTCATCAAATTTACAGATGACACTAAGCTGGTAGGAATAGTCAATACCCCAGAAAACAAGCTTAGGATTCAAAAAGATCTTGACAGACCAGCAATGGGCCCTATCCAACAACATGAAATGCAATGTGGAGAAAAGCAAGGTTTTACACCTAAATAGGAAAAACCAAAGGTACTAGTACAGATTAGGCAAAACCTGGCTCCTAGTGGACGATCACGTAAACATGACTCAGCAGTGTGTGGCAGCAGCCATAAAAGTTAATAAAATAATTGGTTGTATAAACAGAAGCATAGAATCAAAATCATGTGAAGTATTTGTACTTCACATGATTTTACTAAATCCTTAATAAGACCACCCCTGGAATGCTGCCAGCTTTGGTCACCACATTGCCAGTTGTCAAGAAGAGCAACTAAGATGATTAAGGGCCTGGAGACAAAAACATATGATGAATGGTTGCAGGAATTGAGTATGGCCAGTCTAGAGAAAAAAAACGACATGGGGGACATGGTAGTAGTAATCCAGTATTTGAGGGGCTGCCATAAAGAAGAGGGGGTCAATTTATATTCCAAAGCACCAGAAGGCAAGACAAGAAACAATGGATGGAAACTACTCAAGAAGAGAAGCAACCTGGAATTAAGGAGAAACTTCCAAACCGTGAGGACAATTAACCATTGGAACAGCTTCTCTGCAGAAATTGTAGGTGCTTCATCACTGGAGGGTTTTAAGAAAAGACTGGACAATCACCTCCTGTATCTGAAATGGTATTAGAGTCTCCTGATTGAGCAGGGTCCCTCTCAATAGGAGCGGAGTCTCCAAGGTCCCTCTCAGCTTTATTCTGATTAAGACAGACAGAAATAACATATATATTACTGTTAGGTTATGACCCAGGGAAAGTAACTGTGATTAGCATATTTAAATCAATAAGATCTTAATTATAGAGATGTTATTTTATCATTTGATTTAACAAGGTTCACTCTGATCAAGATTACATATCCTACAAACAACAAAAATATTACCTTTAATTCATATCGATAATAGTTGCACTATATAGCATAACAAAAATGTCTATAAGTGGTAGCCTTTCCTACTAATTCATTTTTATATTTATTATTTTTAGTTACATGACCGATGGAGGGCTCAATCTATACACAAGAAGCTTGAATCGAATTCCTGACATAGCTGCCTCTCGAGATGTCATTCAAAGAGGAATTCATGATGTGACAGTGGATGCAGACAGGTAAAGCCTTTTTTTATATAAAAGAATGTCAAATTACAGAGGTTTGGGAAAGTTATTCAGGGCAATTAATTTTCAAATTTGTAAATATTGGGATCAGTAGCTGTAGGTTGGGGAGCATTAAAAATAATGGCAACAAAACCTAAGTTGGAGCTGGACAGTTATGTGAAGAGAATTGTGTATTCTTGAAAGACACAAAGACCTTCCCCCCCCCAAATCTCTTGTATCAACATCCACCAGACAGTTACTATCAGAATGACCAATAATGTTGTGATTTATGAAGTGCTGCAAATAAATTGTCCTGTAGAATACAAAGGCACAGCAGCTGCCTAGCAATAATGCCCGCATTTAAGAATTTGTTCTTGTAAATCAGATGGTGATTAAAAATAACAACTTTCAGCATAACAGAATTTGTGCTGTAATTTTTATTTTGTATTTTAGATTGTTTTCTGCTCTGTGCATATACTGTAGATTATGCTGTCCTTGTGCTTGTGGAGTGCAGCCCAATGGCTAGTTTACAGTGAAATTGTAGTCTTCACATTTCAAATCGTTTCACACCTCTTGACCAAGTTCCTGAGCCATCTGCTACAGCAGAGAGAATTTGACAGAACTGCCAGCTTCAGCTCAGACTAATCCAAAGTGTTTTTCATCCAAGTCACGATCAAAGAAAAACGTCATCAAAATATGAAATGGATTCTGAGTCCATGTCTGGCTTCTTAAGTAATGTCTGAACTCCATCAAGCCCCAATTAGTATAGTATTTACTTTAGCAATAGTTGGATCTATCTTAGCTACCTAAAATAGAATAAGAATAGGTAGAAGGCAGGGGTGGGTTCTACTTACTTTTACTACCGTTTCGCAACTGGGCCGCGCGTGTGTGCTCGCTTCACTCACGCACGCACATGCTGTTCTGCGCATTGCAGAAGCGTTTTGATGAGGTCAGGGTCAGTGGGCGGAGCCTCCCGCCAGTTTTACTATTGGTTCTATAGAACCGGTGTGAACCGGGGGCAACCCACCTCTGGTGGAAGGTTCACAGAGGGTGATTCCCATCTGAAATAAGGAGGAATTTCCTGACATAATTGCTATTAAGCAATGGAACATCTATCTCTTGGAGCCATGGGTTCTCCATCATGAAGATTTTTAAGAAGAGGTTGATCAGCCATTTGTCTGAGATGATATGAGGATTACTGCCCTCAAGATCCCATCCAGCCAAGTGATATCTATTTACCGTGCACATTTTCTGTTTTTTTTTAATGGCTCCACCTTTCCCCCCACCCCCTCCATTTTTACAACCCAGTAATAATGTTTTTTTACAATATGCTTCTTCTGTACTTATAATTTGTACTTGTATGGAATATTTTTCAGGCATTGGAAAAGGAAGACTCAGGCATATCATAGACAAGAAAAGAATGTTTGTGTGCTTTAACAATCAAATAAACTGGCACTAAAATCATAAGATGTTAATTTGTTATCGCTAAAATCTTCTTTGTACTAAAGCTATTTACTTTCTGGATTAGTCCATGCAGTTGCCTAAATATATTTGTATGAGATTGTACGGGGGTTGAGCAAACAGTCACAGAGCTGCAGGAGAATACAAGCAATCCGTTTACTTTTTTTATTCATGCAATTGCTTTATTGTATAAGTTTCAAAGAAAATAGAGCCTTCACATTTCTAATTTTTATCTCTTTGTACCAATTGGAAAGACTATTATTTTGAGGATTTCCTGGTGCATCTATTTAATTTACAGCTACTATTAAGAAGATTATTTTCTTTCCTCAAATCTAAAATATTGCATTTAGTTTGGGCCCACCACATTTTAGAAAGCAATTGAAAAATTGAAACATGTCCAGAGAAGAGCAATCAAGACAGGAAGGGACCTGGAAGGACCTCCAGCTACTGTTGGAAATACCAGGTAACAGTTGGTGGTACTGGGTATGTGTAGCCAGAAGAAAAGAAGATTGCGGGAATATATTATAGTTGTCTGTCTTCAAACAGTTATGAGCTTTGTTTAATTAAAGTCTCTGTGTGTATGCATTAACCGAGAAAGAATTATTATGGAAATAATAAATGAGAATATTTATCTCTTTGCATCTGGTTCTCTTTTGATCCCTTATATTACTAATTTTGCAAATACTGAAATTCTTAAAACAGATAATAGAGATATCTTGTTTGCTACCTTGGTTTTTGCTTCACTCCCATGTAAATGGCTGAAGTACGTGTTTGGGAAGTAGAGCTGGTTTTTTTTTTTTTTTAGTGTTGATTACAGCTGGGAAATATAAAAGTGAGAGTCATTTTTATCTCATTATTACAGGAGGAAAATTTCAGCATGTGCAGTGTAGCAGACTGTCCTAAATAGACACTGTGCTTTAAATACACCTGCAGAGCGTACATTTTCTCTGATTTCACTGCAGCTAATTCTAGGAAGAAAACAAATCTATACATAGACTGCTTTTAATTATACCAGTAATTTTGTACAAAAATTCAGGCCATGCGTTATGTTAATTTTCATTTCAATTTATATAAAGGTTTTGGCAGCTCTATTATCTGTAAAGATATTTCATTTTATTTATTTTAATCTATGGATATAAGCTCCTAAACTTTTAACAGTTCTAGTGCTATGCAACACAAAATGCTATTGTTAATATAAGTGATACTTTGCTTAGCCCAGAAACATAATTTAATACATTTTTACTTTATTTTATTTTATTATTTTTATTTTATTCAGTTTCAGTTTATTCAGTTTCTGGGAAGTATTAACAATATCTAACAATATTTTTAAAAGAATATAATTTAAAAAACTGCTTAAAATGAACAATAACATCGTGCATACATTAATTTATGAATTTAAAATATGACAAAAGTTGTGTCTTTACAGATTTTCTAAACACTGAAAAATTAGAGGCCAGATACAACTCTCTTTTTCAGAAAGTTAATTTCTAAAGGGCCTTTCCTGGACGTTTTAGTAGCCACTCAGTTAAGTAACAGAAATGTGATTCTTTTGATAATCTTAACAATTCAGGATTTTAAAGGGAATTACAAACATTTTAAATTTCACCGAAGGGGCAAGTGGCAAAACAGATTTTTCAGCACAATATGATTAGGAAAGCTTATACTGGTTAACATCCTGGCTGCTGCTCTTGTACTAACTGCAGCTTCTAAACAGTTTTCAAGGATAGTCTATGTGTAACATATTGTGGTAATCTAGAAAGGATGTAGATAAATATATAAAATCTGACTCATTTCATGTCACGTGAGAAGTAATTATTCAAATTCACTCTTAATCATAGACACCATTTTCAAAACCAGTGACAGCCAAGGACCCCCAGTGTGTGAAACTACTGGTCCATGGAACGTACAATCCCATTCAAAATAAACTGAATCTCAGACACCACAACCCAATTTCAATATCTCTGTTTGTGTGAATTTAATTTCAGCCTGTTAGTTCAGTATCAAACTTTGGAAACATGTAAATGAAGACTCAGTCATCCAGACCAAAAGTATCTAAAAAGGTTAAATCATAGCAAACTGGATCAAAATTTGTTAATCTGAGATGTTTCATTACTCATCCAAGTAACTTCATCAGTCAAAATAAAAAATTAGGCAGAGAGTCAGTGAGTTGTTGGAATGTACTAACTCTTGCCACACCAACTGCAGGCGTTTCTCCCCAAAATGAATTGCAATATTATACATTATATAATATATCACAGTAAAACAGTGTTTTGCTATCAAGCACGGTGTCTTGAGGCAATGGATAGGTGTCAGAAAAATTTTTGAAAAGCAGTTCTTGTAATAAAACTACACACTGGAGAAAAGCACTTACTACACACTGTGGAGAAAAGCACTTCTTAATGGTTAAGAATAATTCTTTGTTCTTTTTATGACATGGTTTTTGAATTGCTTTGAAAAAAATCTTTATTTGTAATATACATGAATAAAATCTTCTGAGAGAATGAGAACCTTCGAACTGGTGATAAATTCTAAGTGGCTCCCTCTCACTTAAGAGTGAAAGCAGCTATTTCCTTGAATTTGAAGAGGGAGGGTGTTTAAATCAAATTTCCAATGAAATAAAGAATGTGTTGAAAGAACTTTTCAATGAATTAATCAAATGTTGCTGGAACAATAGCCCAAAAGGAAGGAAACTGGCAAAGTATAGCTGGCCTCAACAATTATGTTATCTGGGGTATTTTTTGCTGTTAAATAACTTAGACATGGTAAGAGTTCATTCACGTGCTGTATATTGTTTGAACATGCTCAATATCATTCAACTAGAGAAAGCCAAGATGCAAATTTAGAGTAGTCATATCATGCCTGATCCTATACTGCTTGGAAAGAAAATTCTGATATGAAGCAATGCTCAAAAAATAACATCAGCAGAACTGCATAAATATTTGAATTAGACAAAGTGATTGACTTGTAGTTCTGTAACACTGATCTAAGCAAGACTGCTCAGAAGTAGTTTCTCATCACTGTAACAAGATGAAGCAAATGTCTCCATGGGAATCTTTATGCACACTGATACCCTAACTTCAAAGTTCCTGTGAAGCAAGAAAAGTTCCTCACAGTAATTATATCCCAGTAATTACATCCCAACTCATAGATTTTGCTACATCCATAATGTACTGAAATTAAAATAAAAATATTATGGAATGATTAGCTATCAGCTATCATACCCACCAAGGGTGGGTTGGTGATTTTTTTTTTTTTTGAGGACTAGAGTAACTACTTTTGTTACAAACATAGACTTCAACCACTGTCTCATTCCAAATGCTAACTTTATTTTTAAATGAAGCATGACATTAACTAAGTTTGTACCAATTATGAGATCAGAGGAGGAGAAATCCAATTATGTCTTTTACTTTACTTTTACTTTTATTTGATTTATATATACCTCCCTACTCCTGAAGGACTCAGGGCGGTGAACAGCTAACAATAAAATACATACATACAAAATTTAAAAAGCAGAGATAAAATCGAATTAAATAGTTTGTACCAGACAGATTTAA